TGTGTGTGTGTAGGGAGGTGTTAAGATTACAGAAAAAAGAAAAATGTTAGTATAGTATCGCTATCACAGTATTTCTGCTGTTACATGCTTGAGTCAATCTTTGTTTTTAGAGGAAAAAACTCTCCTGAAAAAGAAGGAAGAAGCCGGAACCTAGGAACTCCATGATTTGTGCTCATTGAGGTTTTCAGTTTTTTGTTTGTTTTAAAGGTATATTCAGAGGACAGGGTCTAAGAAATAACTTCTTATTTAAATGACTTGGGAATGAAAAATTAAAAATACTGAATTGAAATGACCCCAAGATGTCTTAACTATTAGCAAATGGCTAACCTCTTGTATCCCAGATATTGTTTTGTGGAAAGGAAATGAACTTGATAGATAAGAGACCAAAATGGGGAGCATGGCAGTATGCCATATATATACAAATAAATATAATATGTATTTAAATAAAAACCCTTTACTAAGGCCAGGAACTTGAGGGGAGATTTTTTTCTTTCCCAGTTTGGATTCACTTTAGAATCTTGGCTTTAAACAACAACTTCTATCATTCTTGAACCAAGTTCCCCTTTACTGAAAGTTAATAAAATACAAAGTGCGGCTGTGGGCTGTGAAAGGATTCTGTAGAAAATTTTAAGGCCCAGGTTAAAAGCAGGCAGACAGCAGTTTATCAGTCAGATTCTAACCTGAAAATCAGAAACCACTCTAAGTATTCAGATGGAAGGAATTTAATGCAGAGGATACACGACACATTCAGAGTCAACATCAGAGAAAGCCACTGCCACAGATCTTAACAGAAACAGCTTTTAATATAACAATGTTACCATGTTCAAGGAAAATAAAGCTACATTTGAGAATCTGGCATACTATGAAAAAGAAAGAAGGCCCGGTGTCCTGGCTCATGCTGTAATCCAGAGCTTTGGGAGGCTGAGGTGGGCAGATCACTTGAGGTCAGGAGTTAGAGACCAGCCTGGCCAACATGGCAAAATTCCTGTCTACTAAAAATAGAAAAATTAGTCGGGTATGGTGGTGCATGCCTGTAATCCCAGTTACTTGGGAGGCTGAGGCATGAGAATCACTTGAACCTGGGAGGCAGAGGTTGCTATGAGCCAAGATTTTGTCAATGTACTCTAGCCTGGGCAACAGTGATACTATCTCCAGAAAAAAGGAAGCAAATGGAAAGTCTATTACTGAAAAATAGAAAAACTTAAACTGAGCACTCAATGGGTACATTTAAGCCAGATTACATAGCTAAAGAAAAATTTAGTGAACTGGAAGGTAAATTAGATCCAGAACGAAGCCTGGGCAAGGAGAAGGGGACAAAAGGATGGAAATGAGCACGTAAGAGGCACAAGAGATACAGTGAGAAGGCTTTATTTGGAGTCCTAGAAGGAAATGAAAAAAAGAATGGTATAGAGCTAATATCTGACCACACAATGGCTGAGAATTTACCAAAACTGATGAAAGACAGATACACAAATTTAAAAGCCCAGAGAATACAAAACAGGACTAGTTAAAAAAAAATCCACAACAAAATGAAACACAGTGAAACTGGAATAAACCAAAATGTTTTAAAAAATCTTAAAAGAAGCTATTTTAAAAAGAATACATTAAACTGGTAGATGAACATCCAGAGTGGAGGTCACAGATCAGTGGCTTAATGCATCCAATGTGACAAAAGAACGCGGGGTCTAACCTAGAATTCTATTCCCACCAAAAATTTCTTTTAAGAATGAAGCTATTTTTAAGCAAATAAAAACTGCCTCTAACAGGACAGAGTGTTCTAAAGAACGTTTTTTAGAGAGAAGGAAGATGTCTCCAAATAAAAAATTGCAGAGGTGGAGAAGAATGAAAGGAAATGAAAAAGCTGGGCAGGGTGGCTCATGCCTATAATCCCAGCACTTTGGGAGGCCAAGGCAGGTGGTTTATATGAGGTCAGGAGTTCGAGACCAGACTGGCCAACACAGTGAAACCCCATCTCTACTAAAAATAAAACAATTAGCTGCACGTGGTGGTGCACGCCTGTAGTCCCAGCTACTCAGGAGGCTGAGGTAGAACTGCTTGAACCTGGCAGGTGGACACTACAGTAAGCCAAGATTTTGCCACTGCACTCCAGCCTGAGTGACAGAGCAAGAATCTGTCTCTAAAAACAAAAACAACAAAAAAACAAACCAAAAAAAGGAAATGAAAAGTAATTAAAATAGTAAATATGTAGATAAATCTAAAATAAACATTTGGTATAGAAAACAACTAATATATTTTAATATATATCTAGGTACATTTATATGTACATAATTAAAATTAACCAAAACAAAAGCATATAGGATGGAAGGTAAATGAAACTGAAGTATTCTAAGAAGCTTGCATTGCCTAGGATGAAGATAAAAGTATCAATTAACATTAGGCTTAAGTCAAGAATCTATCTTTTAATTCCTAGGCCTCTAAAAGAAGAGAAAAAGTATGTAACTTCCAACCAAAAAGATGGAAAAATAGAATAATAGAGTATGAATAGAATCATTCTAATCTAATCCAAATGAAGGCAAGAGAAGAGATAACACAACTCAGATGGGGTAGAGTAAATGGAAAGCAGTGAATAAGATTTAAACACAAACCTATCAGTAACTATACATTAAAGAGCTAAATAACCCTGTTAAAACACGTTATCAGACTGGATTAAAGCAACAACTATATGCTATTTCCAAGAGGTACATCTAAAACATAAAAATACCATAAGGTTGAAAGTAAAAGGAAAGGAAAAGAAGTACCATATAACAGTAACCAAAAAATACCTGATGTTATTAATACCAGAAAACAAGAGTCATTTAGCAAAAGGCATTACCGGAGATAGAGGTTTACTTCATAAAATTTCAACTCCTATAACAATTTTATATTTGTGTGGCCTCAAATATATAAGGCAAAATTCATAAGTAGAGATAAATTCTAGGTAGAGATAAATAACTCAACAATTGTCTCATTAGACAAGCAAATAAAAATTCATTAAGAGCAGAGGCAATATGGACAATGTATTACAAATAAACTAATGGCTTTATGTAGATGACTGCATGCAGCATCTGCAGAACAGGAATTCTTTTCAAGGGCCCACGAAACTTCGCTAAGACCAAACATATGCTGGGCCACAAAGCAAATCTCAATACATTTCAAAGGATAGCAGTAATACAGAGTGTGTTTTATGACCACAATAACAAAAATATAACTAAGAAGTTTCCGTATGTTTCGAAGACAAAAAAATACACTTCTAAATAACCCATGGGATCTGTGGTGATTCCCTAATTTTCATTCCTAACTTTATTTGTAGTTTTTTTAATTTTTCAATCATATCAGAGATTTATCAATTTTCATTCTTTTCAAAGTACCAACCTTCACTTTATTGGTCTTCTTTATTGTTTCCTGTTTCAACAACTTTTACTCTCTTTTCTATCTCCTTCCTTTAACTTTTAAAAAGATATTCAGGTCGGGTGCGGTGGTTCAAGCCTGTAATCCCAGCACTTTGGGAGGCCGAGGTGGGTGGATCACGAGGTCAAGAGATACAGACAATCCTGGTCAACATGGTGAAATCCCGTCTCTACTAAAAATACAAAACATTAGCTGGGCATGGTGGCGCGTGCCTGTAATCCCAGCTATTCAGGAGGTTGAGGCAGGAGAATTGCCTGAACCCAGGAGGCGGAGGTTGCGGTGAGCCGAGATCATGCCATTGCACTCCAGCCTTGGTAACAAGAGCGAAACTCCATCTCAAAAAAAAAAAAAAAAAAAAAAAAAAGATATTCAATTTAACAAAGTTTTTACAAAATTTTTATAAAATACAGAGCATTTTTACTAAGCCTTAAAATAATCTTGTAAATAGGTCTTTTCCCTCATTTTATAGATGGGAAAATGATAGAAGAGGAAATAAATTCATATTATTGCATTGAACGGAACATGGCCCTACAGTTTCCACCCAAGACCAGAGGAACTTCGCCTGCTCCTCTCTGGGGCTTTGCCCTGCCCACCCCAGGATCACTGCTTATCCTACATTTGATCTTAGCGAAAAGATCCAGAAGCAATATACTACTTATCCTTTGAGATCTTAAGGGACACTCATCAGAAATAGCCATGGTTAACACAGCGAACGTCTGGCTCTCACCAACCCTTCCTACAGTAATCTCCAGTACATCTGAGTATTGCTGGGAAAACACAGGGGAAACAAAATGTGTACCACTGAGTGAGCGGGCTGCCCAGGCCAGACAGGCAAGCAAGCCTGAGGCAGCTCTTGTCCCCTAACGTGTGGTAACTGGCGTCAGCTAGAGGCTCCCCCTGGTGAGCCCTTTTGTAGCCTAACAAAGACAAAACACGTTTGTTTAGAGACAATGGATTGCTTACTTAGAAGCAAGATACAATTCAGGAACATCCAAAAAATCACTTTTCTCACGTCTCAAGTTTTGTCTGAGTAGGGGGTGGTCCTGAGGGAGTTTCCTGTCTTTCAGGTAAGAGTTGTCCTCCACTGCCCAAGAATCTAGATGCCGAGTCCTTGGGCAGGGCCACATTTACTCACTAGACTTACTCCATACAGTCTTATGCAAATACTTCTCATTCTAGGCAGTCTTCTAAGGGCCTTAATGCTATTAATGTTTCCAACCCTCATTACAACCTATGAAGTTGCCACTATTACCTTTACAAAAGATAGGTAAGGGCCCAGCGTGGTGGCCTGTGATGGCTCAGGCCTGCAATCTCAGCACTTTGGGAGTCCAAGGCTGGGCAGATTACTTGAGGCCAAGAGTTCAACACCAGCCTAGTCAACAATGGTGAAATCCTGTCTCTACTAAAAAGACCAAAATTAGCCTGGCATGGTGGCGCATGCCTGTAACCTCAGCTACTCTGGAGGCTGAGGCACAAGAAATGCTTGAGCCCAGAAGGCAGAGGTTGCAGTAAGCTGAAATCACACACTGCGCTCCAGCCAGGGTGACAAAGCGAGACCCTGTTTCAAAAAAAAAGACATAAGGACACACAAGAAGACAAGGCTTAGTTACTTGACTAAAGTCATCTGGAAATACGTGAGAGTCCTTATTTGAATCCAGGTTTCCTGGCAGAGACACCACACTCTCAGCCACTATATTTCACCGCCTCTACACAGGTTTCATGCAAACGGCTTCCTTAGCACAATGGCACCATCTACAGCCTGAGAAGAACTGTCAGGTCTAAAAGAGAATGGCTCCTCAGTAGGAATACAATTGAAGTAGTGTATTCTACTTCTTTCTCCATGTCTCTAGGCCAAGGCCCTTAGCTGAAGCTGTAGAAGAGGAATGGAGGGTCTTCCCAGTCCAGGGACTCCCTAGGTACAGCTGAGCCAATTCCTCAAGGTCTTGATGCAGACAGACTTCAGGTCCCCAACGTCTATCTTCAGCTAACAGGTCTTCAGGTGTTGTCCTGGTGGTGATCCTCTCCTTTTTGAATCCCGTGAAGGAAAATTCCCCTGCATTGCAGGACTGGCGTTCAGTACTGTTTCACACCCAGTGTCTCCATACATGAAACATGAAATTATTTTCCAGGCTTTCACCTGCAGACAAATTTGCTAACAGAGAGATGTGCACTCCTATGGAAGGCTACTACATACTCATTGTTTATTCAGGCTTTTTCTTTTTCTTTCTCTTCCCTGCTTTTCCCTTCCCGTCTTTATTTTTCCCAACTGCATATAATTCTCTGGAAGGGGTTGGGGGTAGTCCCTAAACGACCTTCCATCCCTGGTCTGAGCAGGCTCAGCCACACCAGTTCATTGGGTCTGTGCTATAATGGAGAACCCACCATGTCTGGGATCAGCCTGAATGGCTTTTATCTGGCTGTAGGTACACTCAAGGACTTGGACCCATTTCTGGAGCATGCAAGTAGACGGGGGCCGTAGTAGGAGCCATGTCTGGCGCTTGGGGAACTGAGGCACTCAGAATCCCCACCTGAGCTGTGGCCATCCTCTCCTTTGTTATTTAGCCTGCATCTTCCCCAAAAGTAGGCAGTGCATTAGGTTTAGCTGGAGCTCAAGTACGGGAGCTCTCCTGTGTGAGGAGCACATGGAGACCTCAGGTTAAAAACAGCCAGAGCTGGTCTCATCTTCAGCAGAAGGAAGCCCAATTCACGTCCCCATGACTACTGGGAATGTGTATTCCATGGCACCCTTCTTCCTGCCCAGACACCAGCCCTGCCATAGACCAACCTCACTGGAAGATGCCTGGGCACTTCCGTCACTGTCTTTACTCAGGTCGTCCTAGTTTCCACTCCTCTCTCAGAAAACCCAATTCAACGTCCTGCCCAGATGTCATTGCTTCCTCCCACTTGGTTGGTCCTGGTCACTGTCCTCCGAGCACCTGCAGAGCCTAAGTCAGACATCCATTAGGGTGGTTGTGCTAATAGCCTTTCTCCCTTTATTCATCCTCATCTACTAGGATCTACTGCTGCCATCCTCTCCCACCCAGTACCTACGACAAGGGACAGTGCCTAGCAGATCCTCAAGTATTTACTTAATCAGTCCAAGTCTGTGTATAGGGTCAGGCTTGTCAGTGTCATGTGCAAAGAAGGATAGAGAGCTAGTATAATCAGAATATTCCTCCCTCAACTCCACCCTTCCCCACCCCAGCCATCAAAACTTACTGGTAGGGATTTGGATACAAAGTCAAATAATTATACTCCTAGAAAGAGCATGGAAGCTATCTGGCTAGAGAGACAGGAGTCCTAGATGGAGATGGGAAACTACATGGCTAGAGATTGTTCTCTTGTAAAGACAGTGGATTCTGAAACCAGAGATCAGACTTAGAATTCAGCCTTTACTGATTAGCCCACTAACAGTATCCTCAGCAGGTTACTAAATTCTCAAGAGTCTATTTTTAACCTTTGAGTTACCTAGTTAACAGCTTCATACACAGCAGTATTTTATGTTCAATTCTACATGTTCCTGACAGAGCTGTGTGGCGACTTACCACGCACACAACCTACCTGCTCCCATGAGTTAGGATCCGGCCCAGTATGAGGATCACACTGCTCCACTACCCTCAAAATCCAACCTGTGCTTGTCCTAGGGAGGCACCTTCTAATTTCTGGAAACTAGTTGAGCTGCTAGCATCTGTGGGATGAGTCCACTGCCCTCTCTGGTTTGGAGCTGGTATAACTTATCCTACAAAGACCTGACACACAAATGGCTCTGGGTATCCTCCATCTAAACTCACAGCCAGTTTTGATTTGAGGAATTTCTTTATTGGAATTCCACTTTACCTACCACAGACGCCATGACAAAGAGTGAGCCCTAAACAAAGTATCTGTTAACATTTTACAAGAGACAATATACACATGTACTGCATGACATCTTTACAGTAACACATTCCAAAACAAACACTTAACAGGATTATTAAGAAACATTACTTTCCTTCTCTCTGGAGGGACTGGTACTTAGCTTTTTAGCTTCTGCAACAAAATGCGTTCCTTCCCAGCATTCCTATTCATAGGAATCCCTGAATCAATTACGTCATGTAAGGCGCAAATTTATGTTGACGATGTGTTCCATTACTGAATGTGTCAAAATCCTCTCCCTGGTAGAACCTTTTATTGTTGCATATGTGTGAATACCACTTCCAGGTTCTCCCTCATCACAAATTCATCATTCATTATAGGAGTTCATCTGAAACTTTAAAGAAGTTTCATTCACTCAACTAATGTATCACAATATTATGTTCATCAGCTTGCATTTTTTAAGAGTGACTCTATCTCTTGTTAGAATAATAAGTCTATGCTTTCTACTTTTCCTAAAAGGAAATTCAGATTTTGTTTCAGAAGTCATCATCATTGTCCCCCTCCCAAAACAATTATATCAAGTTTATACTTCAAAAACACTAATATTAAATAAATTTATATTCCCTGAAGCCTATCTCTCCCTGAAATTGCCTGCTAGAGGCCCTTCTTAGCTTTCCCACTGACCAATGTGTAATTGGGATTCAAAGATATACCTGAATTTTCTGTATTTCTAGTAATAGAATTTACCAAACATGAACTTTCTGATGGTGATTATGTGACTTTTAATTGAAGTCCTTTCCTCTTGTGTGTTTTATGTCCAGAAATGTCTACTAATTTTGAAGATTCGTTTGACATCCCGTCATCTGGATAAGTTTTTATCTCAAGGATGGACTATTTTATATCCTGCAAGAGCTGAATTACCTTGACACTGGAACCTTTCTTGCTCACTGATTGAAAATCACATAGAAAGGATTCCTCACAATCCTCTAGGATGGTTTCATTTATACTGGGTAAATTACAAGCCATGACCCCATGCATTCTTACATTCATAAGGTATTTCTTCCATTTGAGTTCTGAGACTTGGTAAGCTCTGCCTGCTACAAAGGCATACTCATCCTGCTCCCATCCAGGGCATTCCCTCCCTCATAGGTTCTCTTCTGGGATATGCCACTATGACTTCCCACATATATCACATTTAAAGATTCCTCTCCAATATGGGTTCTTTTATGCTTGGTGAGATTTGATCTGATATTAAAAGCCTTACCACACTCATTACATCGGTATGGCTTCTTTCCAGTGTGGATCCTTTTGTGCTGGTCAAGGACTGATCTATAATTGAAGGATTTCCCACACTCACAATTATATGGCTGCTTCCCCCGATGGACACTTTTATGGTTGATAAGACTTGAGTGTGAGATGTACGCCTTCCCACATTCATCACATTCATAGGGTTTCTCACCTGTGTGGATCCTTTTATGCACTGTGAGGCCTGAGCTGTTCCTGAAGGCCTTCCCACACCTATCACACACATAGGGTTTCTCCCCTGTGTGGATCCTCTTGTGCTGAGAAAGGAGAGAGCTGTAACTGAAAGATTTCCCACACTCAACACACTTGAAGGGTTTCTCCCCAAGATGGACTCTTTTATGGCTTATAAGAGTTCTGCTTGAGAAAAAAGCTTTTCCACATTCATCACACATATGGGGTGTCTTGCCAGGGTGGGTACTTTTATGGTTAATAAGGCTTGAGTGTGAGATGTAGGCTTTTCCACACACATCACATTCATAGGGCTTCTCCCCAGTATGGATTCTTTTATGAACTTTAAGGCTTGAGTTGTTTCTGAAGACCTTCTCACACCTATCACATTCATAAGGTTTCTCTCTAGTGTGGACCCTTCTGTGCTGAGAAAGGAGTGATGTGTAATTAAAAGATTTCTCACACACATCACATTTGTAGGGCTTCTCCCCAAGATGAACTTTTTTGTGGTTTATAAGGGTTCGGTATGTGATGAAGGCTTTATCACACTCATCACACTTAAAGGGCTTCTCCCCAGGGTGTACACTTTTATGATTTATAAGGCTCGAGAGAGAGATGTATGCCTTCCCACATTCTTCACATTTATAAGGTCGTTCCCCAGTATGGATCCGTTTATGTACTTTAAGGCCGGAATTATTTCTGAAAGCTTTTCCACACTCATCACACCCAAAGGGTTTTTCCCTGGTATGAATCCTTTTATGCTGCTCAAGGGCAGAGCTGTAGTTGAAGGATTTCTCACAATAGCTACATTTATAGGGCTTCTCCCCAAGATGGATTCCTTTGTGATTTTTAAGGCTAGAGCGTGAGATATAGGCCTTCCCACAGACATCACACTTATATGGTTTTTCCCCAGTATGAAGCCTCCTGTGGACTTTGAGGCCTGCATTGTTTCTGAACGTTTTCCCACACACATCACATACATAAGGTCTCTCTCCAGTGTGAATAGTTCTATGTTGAAGAAGAAGTGAGTTATAACTAAACGATTTCCCACACTCCTTACATTCATGGGCTTTCTTCCCAGGGTGAATGCTTTTATGGACTGCAAGGCCTGAGCTATAGCTGAATGCTTTGCCGCAGACATCACATTTGTAAGGTTTCTCTCCAGTGTGAATCCTTTTATGTACTATGAGGCCTGAGCTGTTCCTGAAAGCCTTCCCACATTCATCACATTCATAAGGTTTCTCTCCAGTGTGGATGACTTTATGCTGAATGAGTAGAGAGCTATAATTAAAAGACTTCTCACACTCATCACATTTATAGGGTTTATCTCCAAAGTGAATGCTTTTATGGTTGAGAAGTGTTCTGCAAGTAATGAAGGCCTTCCCACACTCATCACATTCATAAGGTTTCTCACCCGTGTGTATCCTTTTGTGGACCCTAAGGCCAGAGCTGTTACTGAAGGTTTTCCCACAGATGTCACATTCGTAGGGCTTCTCCCCTGTGTGGATCCTTTTGTGGACTCTGAGCCCAGAGCTGTTCCTGAAGGCCTTCCCACACTCACCACATTCATAGGGCTTCTCCCCAGTGTGGATCCTTTTATGCTGGTCCAGAACAGAGCTATAATTGAACGATTTTCCACATTCATCACACTTACAGTTCTTCTCCCCAGAATGGGTGCTTTTGTGGTTTATAAGGCTGGAGTAGGACATGTAGGCTTTCCCACATTCCTCACACTTGTACGGCTTCTCCCCAGTGTGGATCCGTTTGTGGACCCGAAGGCTCGAGCTGCTCCGGAAAGTCCCTCCACAGTCATCACATTCATAGCGCTTTTCCCCAGTGTGCATAATTTTATGTTGAACGAGGCGGGAATTATATTTGAAGGATTTCCCACACTCATCACATTTATGTAATTTCTTAACAGCACTGGTTTTCTGCTGTAGACTGGGGTGGGAGGTTCCATTAATGTTCTCCACACATTTGTCTTGCTCACTGCCTCTCGGTCCTACAGGCATAGTCTGGTGTGTGATATGCTGTGGGCTTAGATGTGAGCTCTTCTCAGACACCTCACCTTCCTGTTCTGTTTTTATATTTGCTGTACTCTTAACTTTGCTGATCGCTTCCCTGATGCTGCTTCTGTCTTCCTTTACCCTGTTTCCCAGAGGCTTTTCCTGTTGTTTCTCTACCTTGCTATCCCAGTCACATGTGTCACCAACCTTAGATTCAGGCATACAATCCTTGTAAAGACCTTTCACTTTTGGCCACGTATAGTCTGCATTTCCAACATTTTCATATTCTTCAGTTGGTTCCTCATCCTCAGTGCCCGTCTTCAAATGTGACACTAAACCAAGAAAATGAAAAGGACACTTGTTCACTCTCTTAAAACAACAACAACCACAACAAAAACTGGAATAACAACAAACAACAAAATTTGCTCATTCACTCGACAAACATTTACTGGCAACATACTTTGTGATGGGTACCATGTACCATTTTTTAAGTACTAGGGATATTACATGAAATATGACAAAATTTTTGCCCCTGTGAAACTAATGTTAAAATGTTAGAGCCCTGGATTTTCAATGGAACAATGAGCTTTTCTATTCTTGCATAGCAGCTTAGCATAGGGAAAGGTGAAATGATGCACAGAATCACGGGCGACACCACTTAGTTTTTTAACAATGTCATCCAGTCATGGAAAAACAGAGGGCAGAAGAAATCTCTGAAGAACAGAAGACAGAAAAATTCATAAGGAGGACAAAAGTTAGGCATAACTTGTTTTTATTATCAAAAGTTGGGCATAACTTGTTTTTATTATCAAAAGTTAGACAAATCAGCAGAGCACAGACAAAACTAAAGAGGAGAAATTAGTACTTGGGGAGAGGTATCAGGGAGGAGCCTATGAAATCATGAAGACAGTTACTGCAGAGATGAGAAAGAAGGCCACCTGCATATTACATATTAAAATATATTACAAAACTTCTCTAATTAAGAGTGTGGTCTTGGTACACAGACAGGCAAATGGAATAGAACAGGAAGTCCAGACATTGTCCCAGGTACACATAGAAATTACATAATGATAAAGATGATATCTCAAATTAGTGGGGAAAAGATGGTCTTTTAATATTGTTGTAACAACTATGAAGCCATACGGAAAAAGATAAAATTAAATCCCATTCTTCACACCATACACATGAATAAACTCCAAATGGAACAGACATCTAAATATAAAAAAGCTGTACAAATGCTAGGAAACATGGGCGAATGCCTCTATGACCTGAGTACAGAGAAAGCTTTCTATGACTCATATGCAAGAAAAGACTGAAACATTTTCAAAAATTGAAGAAAAATAAACTAAAAATCATACAGGAAAACAGGCAGAAGGCGAATGGACAATTATTTAAAATGGCCCTTAAACATTCAACTTGATTCACAATAAGAGAAAGTCAAATAAGAACCACTATAAAATACCACTTCTCACCTGTCATATTAGCAAATGTTCAAAGCTTGACAATATAATGTTGATGAGGCTGTGGAGGAAAGAGGCACTCTCAGACACTGCTAGGAATGCAAACTGGCACAGCGCCTTTTGAGGGGAATTTGCCAATATCTAACAAAACCATACATGCACTTACACAGAAATCCTGCTTTAGGAATTTATATTGAGGATGTACTGCCAACAATACAAAAAACGTACATGCACAGAGTGATTCATTATAGCATTATATGTAACTGAAAAATCTGGAAACCTATGTAAATGTCCAAGCACAGAAGACTGGTTAAATAAACTGGCACATATGCACAATGGAGTGCTAAAAAAGAATGAGGAAAATTTCTGAATTGATAGGGAGCAGTCTGTATATCCCAAAGTCAAAAGGGCAAAGTGACAAAGAGTAACATACATGCTACGTTTTGTGTAGTAAAGAAAACAGGAAAACAAGCACGTATGTGGTTCTCTTTACAGCAATGATAAACCAGAAAACAATGAAGTTCATTGCCTACAAAGGAGGAGTGTGGAGAAAGGAAAAGAAGGGATGAGGGGAAGGGGGGGGGAGAGAGAGAGAGAGAGAGAGAGAGAGAGAGAGAGAGAGACTCTGAGTATATAGCCTTTTTAATAGCTTTTACTATAAAAATACATGATAATATTCTACATATTCAAAGAATAAAATTAAACATCAATGACGACGAGAAAGAGGAAAAACTGCTAAAACAGAAAACAAATGGAAACAAATCAACCTGTTTGCATTTCACATGAATACCACAACCATAGGGAGAGAACAAACTAAAAAGAAACACAGAACTAATCCAGGCAACTTAGAAACATATTTGACTACATAGGTATATTCAGTCTGGGAAAAGCTGAAGGCGGGGCAGTTGGAAGAGATACAAACAATTAAACTGTTAGCAGGTTTTACGTAGAAGTATCAACAAAGCAATTCTGAAACAATTTTAGATGTAATAAGAACCTAAGTAAATGTGTTGATTTTATTGGGAGTTAGGGATCTCCTGGAGAAAGGGACATAAAAATAAGGAATAGAGGAAGGCAAGAATAAACCTTGGGATGAATTCAAAGTACTGGTATGAACTTACGATTTCTAAATTATATATATGTACATATGTGTATGTTCAAGTCTGTATATCTGTATGCATATATTTCCTAGCTCTGTTTGCTGAAAGACCAAAAAACAATAACATCCCAGTGGCAATGAACACATCTAGTACCCTCATTCTGGGTCTCTATTACCATTATTTACTAAAAGGAACCAGAACTTCTCAAAGAAATGGCAGATTCCAGGCTGAGGGCAGAAAACATACAAGATGAACATCGTGTTACACCAGCAAGCAAAGACAGGCTCAAAAAAAAAAGACCTAGCTTGAACACTCAGTGTTCAAGTACCATAATAACTTTAAGCACCATAATAACTTAAGTCATATGTATAACTAAGTATACATATATGTATAACTAATGTATAACTAAGTATAGTGATATAAACCATTGAAGATAGGATTTCATAAGTCTACACAGGTACAAACAGGAGAGAAAGGGAGGCCTCTTGCTTATATCAGAATGTGAGTTCTGGCTGGTAGATGTAGAAGGAATACCAGAATTGGAAAAATCAGCATTCTGCAACTATCAGAATAAAGGCTGGATCAGGAGAGAATCATCAATGATTTCTAAGTCTAGGCAGAAATTCTGATAAGGAGCAGGATATCTGCATGGTCTTAAATATTTATAATGCTTAAATTATTTACAAGTGGGAAAAATTCAACAGTAAAGAGACAATGCCTTGGCCAGGTGTTCTAATTTAACATCTCCAGTGGAACAGATGGACATACTATGCTTTTAGTAGGGAGAAGGACACATCATCTTTGAGAATACATTATATGAACTGAAGCATCAGGAAACATCAGATAAACCCAAAATAAAAAATGTTTTCTACTAAAAAAGAGGGTGGAGGGAAGGGGGGGGACTATATTTTTCAAATACACATATTATTTTCATAAAAGACAAAGAAAAGCTGTAGAAATGTTCTAGATTAAAGAACCCTAAAGAGACTTGACCACTATATTAAATTCCTGACCTTGACTGGATCTGTAATAGAGGGAAAAACTATTATAGTAAAAAATTATATCAGCTGACAAAGCTGGAATATGGATGGCAGACTAGATAAAAGAGGTATCAACTTCAAATTTACTCAATTTGAAAACTGTACTGTAGGTATATGAGACTATCCCAATCCTCAGGAAATATACAATGAATTATTTAGGGATAAAGGGCCATGATACACTTAACTTACCTACAACTACAAATGGTTTAGAAAAATATTTGTATGTATGAAAGAGAGCAAGAGGACAAAATGAAGTCAAATGTTAACTGCAGGTAAATCTGGGTAATGGGTACCTTTTTACTGTTTGTATTTTTGAAATTTTTCTGTGCACTTAAAATTATTACCAAACAGTTGCAAAAATGTCAAAAAGCAAATTTGTTTCCTCTTCTATACCTTCCCTTCCAGGTACTGCTTTGCTACCCTACTGCCTGTTGTACCTGGAAAAAGTGGTCTTTACATCCCACTCCCCTCATGCCTCATTTCTTCTACTCAGACCACATAGCATTAGCTTCTTCAGGCTTGTGTTTGCCCTGCAGGCTGCTGCCCCCAGATGTTCCTGGCCCCTCCTTCCACCTTGAGCCTTTCCTCTTCTGGTTCCACATACTCCCCTAGGAGCCCTGCATGGCTCCAAGCACTCCCATAAGCTGTCTCTCAGGTCCTCATCTCTGGCCAAGATCCCTCTCAATTACAGACCCTCATATCCACCTTGCCCTCCCCTTTGCCTAAGTCAGAAGTGGGCTCTTCTATTTCCCTTGGCCACATCCAAAACAGCCCCTAAGACCACTGATTCTATTGTCTAAATAGTTCTGAAGCTCTTCCCCTATCCCCCACCTCCTTCTTACTGGTAAGGCCTTAGTTTAAGCCTCCTAAATTCTCTTCTGCACTACTGCCATTGTTTCTTGACCTTCACTCTTACCCCTGCCCAATTCTTTCTCCAACCACTGTCAAGAGTTTTTGTAAGATGCACACCTGGTCACTAGGCAGTGCCAATTCTCCCAGGCTACTTACTGTGGCACCTAAAGCCTTCTGCACCAGCCACCTGTGCAAATGTCATCCCTCATTGCCACTCCACTGATTCTCAGCCTGATCCTTTGTCTCTTTGACAAGTGGATTATTAGTTTTCTTCCTGTTCTCTGGGATTCCATGTTAGACTGGCTGCTGACTGGTCTGGTCTGCCTAAAATCACAGATACTTTGCTACTTACCTCTCTAACCTAGGTGAAGACCAGGGGCCTCCCTGTTCTAGCTCTGCTTAAACCCCACTGTTTGGGTTAGGGGTACAATGTCCTATCACCTGATATAGTTCATCCAATCCTCTTTATGAGTGACATCAAAATGGATTAATATAAACATGCATCTTCATTGAACATAGATGGCTTGAAATTTATATTAATCAATACTAAGATCTGTCAAAAACACAGGCAGAAAAGCACTAGAGTAAATGCTGCCAACATGTAAAAGCAATAAAAAGAATGTAACGCAACATTAAGTTATCCTTATAAACAATACTGAAGATGCACTCTAGCATCAGTTATTTCTGAGACTGAGTGTTACACAAGGAACTTAGATTATTATCTGTATCCCATTTGTTTTCCAGGCCCTGGGCTATTCCCAACCAAGGAGATGGATATGACAAGGCCCTGCCACTGAGGCGCCTGCAGATTAGTAGGAGAGTCTGGTAGGAAAATAACCATGTTATAAAAATGACAGAGGCAAATACAGGGTATAGATGGTGGGAGTGGAGGATGGACTACAGGAAGAGCTTCAGGAAGAATGCCAAGGGAGAGTAGCTATAGAGGAATTGGTGTTCAGTCCCCTCAAGACATCTGGGGAAGACAAAGGGGAAGCCAGACAGGTGGGCAAAGAAGTAGCAACCCTGGATATGTGTTTTGGAAAAATTACTTTATTAAATTGGGGTTGGCAAACATTTTCTGTAAAGTATCAGGCAGTGTATATTTTAGCTTTGTGGGCCATATAGAACTGCTGCGTATTGTTTTTTTAAGCATTTCTTTAAAAATATAAAAATCATTCTTAGTTTGCAGGCCATACATAAACAGTCCACAAGCCCAGCAGTGTGCCCACCTCTATTAGATAATATCAAGGAATCAGAGTGAATTTAGGCTGGCATAATAATGGCATTGTGGCTATGTTAGAACTGTCTTTTTTTTTTTTTTGAGATGGAGTCTTGCTCTGTTGCCAGGTTGGAGTGGAATGGTACATATCAGCTCACTGCAACCTCCGCCTCCTGGGATCAAGCAATTCTCCCTGTCTCGGCCTCCCGAGTAGCTGGGATTACAGGTGCCTGCCACCACACCTATCTAATTTTTGTATTTTTATTACAGGTAGGGTTCCCCATGTTGGTCAGGCTGGGCTCCAACTCCTGATCTCAGGTGATCTTGCCACCTCAGTCTCCCAAAGTGCTGGGATTACGGGTGTGAGCCACTGTGCCTGCCCCCATTTTTTTTTTTTTTTTTTTGAAATAATTCAGACTGAAGTCTACAGTGAAATGGCATGGTACCTAGAATTTGCTTTAAAACATTTAAATAAAGAAAAAATAAAAAGGGAAAAGTTAAACAGCAGAATCTTGATAATTGCTGTATCTGAATGATGGGTATATGTAAGTTCATAAGAAAAAATTTTTAAAAAGATCAGACAAGGTGCAGTGCCTCATTCCTGTAATCCCAGCACTCTGGGAGGCAGAGGCAGGCAGATCACCTGAGGCTAGGAGCTCAAGTCCAGCCTGACCAACAAGGCGAATCCCTGTCTCTACCAAAAATACAAAAATTAGCCAGGTGTGGTGGTGCACACCTGCAGTCCCAGTTACTCAACTTGGGAGGCTGAGGCACAAGAATCGCTTGAACCTGGGAGGTGGAGGTTGCAGTGAGCCAAGATAGTGCCATTGTAGTCCAGCCTGGGTGACAGAGCAAGACTCTGTCTCAAAAAAAAAAGATAACTCATACTAGTTACAGTGGGACAATGGATTGAGGCGAGACAGGACTGAGTCCTGGAGTTCCAGGAGAAAGTCACTATAAACCAATCAAGAAGACTGATGTGGTGGCTAAGTCATGTGTCCCCTATGACACAAGTAATGAATTACCCCCCAAAACACAACTCTTCCATGGAAAGACCCAGAAAGTTTTGAATTGTTTAAAAGTTCTAAAGGCTGAATGGGCAAGTCCTTTCTAACCAGTTTTCAACATGTAGCATGACTCTAATAGTCTAGTTACATCAGTCAAGTGTCAGACACAGAATGCTATCCACTCCTTCCAAACTACATATGACCAATGACGTCTGGGCACTTCTGTGCTTCTTGTTCATGCTCTATCACCAAAGCCTAGGAAAATGAATGCAAATACGTACTAAGAACCTGCCCTA